TGACGAAGTTGAGGTAGAGATTTGACTGGTTCTATCCTGAGTTCGATGATTATTCGTAGGGTTGCAATTGTTTCAGCACATGATTTTCTTTTCTTGTATCCAGTGCATCTTCTAGTCTCTCTAGGATGACGTGAACTAATATTTCTCTTGCTGTGGAGAACAGCATGATTCTTCGCCAGTTCTTTCAGAGGAGTAATTTGCCCTTCTTTGGTAATTCAACAATGTAGTTTTTCATCCGATCAATAGGTACATTTCTTTCTTTCCTTGCGAAATTTTTACATTAGTGTCGTGAGGATGTCAACTGTAGTCTCGTGATCTGTTTTCAGTGCCTCAGAAGAGAATTCCGCGTGGTCCTGTTGCCTTCTCCACTTTTAGTAGCCTGAGTGCATTGGAGACTTGTGCATTCGTTGGAGGACTGGTATCCACTGACCAGTTGTTCTGTGGTTGTTGATGGTATTTCTGGATGGATTGTAAGTGATGGTCAGTTGAAGAATTTTTGAAGTGAACAGCCTATTGTTTTCTTTGTTCCTCCTTTTTGGTAATGAGGTTTGGTTGGCCATTTTTTTTTATTGTTCTTATCTCACTCCTTTATTCACTGGATAGTGAATTGAACTTAGTTTTTCCTTCTGTTGTCCATATTTGTCACTGATGTTACTTCCCGCGTGACCTGTAAGGCGTACATTTCGCCCTTAGGTAGATAAGAGGTAATGTTGTTGCATTTGCTATTGGTATATGGTTAAGTTTTAGAAAGATAAACTTTATGCATGAGGCAGTGAAGTTGGACTGGATGATGATATAGGGAGAGATACATCAACATATTTGTGTTCATTCTAGACCTACTCATCAGAAACATTGAAAACTGCCTTCGACTTTCATTTTACGTGGAAGTGGCAAAGTTCACTCGGTCAGTTCGGCTTCTGGAGGCCATGTACACGATAGGTTTGGTGGAATCAGGGTTTTCCAGCTCTGCCAAGCATTGAGGCTGCATGTTCACTATTCCGCTTTGTTTTGGTATTTTCTGATATTTTTTCTGCACTTATGCTTTTTGTATGAACACAATTGACCGTGATGCTATCCTCCTGAGAACGAATTAGTGGTCGGAGGCTGTAGCAGAAATTGGAGGTGTTGAAGAATTATGACTACTCTCATCTGAATTTAGGACAGCGAATGTCAAATCAAATTCACAACATACGAATTTGAAATGAAGGAGTTCCCAGGAAGAATATCTCAGTGAATTCGAACTGACTCAGCGGTGTCAGTTCTTGTGTAAGGTTTCCATCTGAAGTGACCGACAGTCGGTGAAGGCCATCTCCGCTTGTCCGAGCCCTTGATTTGAAGTCTCATCCTTAACAAGACAATGGGACAGCCGGAGGAGCTGCATTCCCATTGTTTCCGGTGGCCAAGTTCACTCGGTCAGTTCGGCTTCTGGAGGCCATGTACAGCATAGGTTTGGTGGAATCAGGATTTTCCAGCTCTGCGGAGCATTTTAGGTTGATTTTCGCGAATACGTAGGGAAGTTTACACGTTGTGATTCTTCGTTTCAGTTTTGTTGAACAATGTCACTTGTCTGGCTAGTGTAGGAATACATGGCCATAGAAGAGGATTTCTTTTTGACAGTGATACTGCAGTCTACCCATGCTCAGGTGCAGTACGAGATGGTTTATTTGGACAGTGCTGTATTAGTCGAAATATTAGTGTATGTACTTGTTAAGTCGAAGTGAATCAATTTGATTGCGCTCTAGCCCTGGTTTGATTGCTAATTCACTTGAGTATTAGACTTCTAAAGGTTCCCTGGCATCTGAGTGTTTCCTCTGTTTAAAATTTCCTCAATCATATGACAAGAAATTTCGAATTCCAAGTCAATAAAGACGTAAGTCAGTCATCAGACAATCACGACAGTGGTTGCCCCGGGACACAATCATGTCATTCACGGGGAATTTAAATGAGTTCAGTTTATACTAAAACCTGCGCTGTAGATCTTGTCTAGAAGGCGAACAACGAAAGCTCGGCAATGAAATCAACCACGCAGTTCAGAGAACACAACTCATGCAATATCATCCACCTGAGCTACAAATCGTTTGCATTTTATGTAAATTAGTTAGCCTTGCGTTTAACCGACGTCAAGGGAGGCCTAATATTAGTGTGAAATATTTTGATGCTTCATATGTCGGCGGGTTCGTAAAGTCGACTGAGTGGTTGTTTTGGGGTATTTTAATAGTAGTAGAGAGATAATGATTCCACTGGGAGTGTTAGGTCAGCTTTGGGGTTTTCGAACCTGCTCACAACAGTTTCCACAGGTTTCTTAATCTCCTTACATAGACCTATTTAAATGTGTTCATTGATATAGTTAATTGATGCATAACTGCTGTTGACTTAGTCTTGTTTGATTTGACAGTCAGTATGTTCTGATGGTTTATCAAATGTTTTACGGTGATATTCACTAGTTGTGATAATCAATAGTTTTTGGTTCTTTTTTGATGTTTAAGTGTAGATGCACTATTGTACTGTGACTTGTTGTTGTGTTTTGTTGAAAATTGTCCTATCTTTTTACGAGTTTTACGATGGGTTGATATCAGTTAGAGAATCAACGAAAGCCAGGGAATACTGAACAGCTGTTTCATTATACTTTCGGAATCATCGCCGGTACGCACCCGCCATCAGGGTTCGAACCTAGGACCTTCGGGTTTCAAGGCAAGCTGGCTCGTATACCATCCAGTCACTGCCCCCCACCACAATTCAATGGCCAGTGCATGAATTCTAACTCCTACCAGTTCGTCATTTAGCGCGACCACCAACCAATGTCATCGGTGGGACATCCATGCTCACACTTGATTGGATGAAGCTCACTGGTCACGACTTCTATCTATTGCACTTATTGCTAATTGTACACTGGGAATGACTTCTTCAGGTTTTAATCCATCAGTCGGATGGCTACATTGACGTGTTTTTCCTTTTTGAAGCATTTTTTGTGTTTAATGTATTAATGATTGATGGATGAGGTTTCATTGATAAATTCACTCTTCTTATCTAGGATGCTTTTCTTTCACTATTTTAATTTGATGTAGTGAAAGCAGTAAGTGTGAATAATAATACCTCATGTTTGGATTTTTCGAGTATGGGTGATTTCGTCGTCTTTGGTTATTTGGTTCAGTTTTTTCAATTTGAATTTTAGTTGTTGTACAATCGCTTTCATGTTTGATACGTAAGTTTCTTGATGACTCTGTGGAGTTGTTGTGTTAAAGAAAATCTCTCCTACTGTTGCTATCATCCTGTTTTTGTTGTAGCAGAATCCGTATACAAAGAGGTTAGATGATCGGAGGCGCAGTGAGCAGCAAACCTTGAGTCTAGGTTTTCTGCTTGCTTAGCATACACCAATCACCTAGGCATATCTACAATATTGTAGGAACTCGTGTCCATCCTGAGATTCGTACCCGTATCACTTAATGGTGCAGTAAGAGACGTTATCATTGAGCTGTTCGGGTTCTCGACTGATTTACTGTAGGACTGTAATGGATACTTTGATTGGACACTTGGTATTAGGTGGTAACTAGTGTTATGAGTCTAGTCCTTTGTTCGGTGCAGACTGGAGGTAATCCTTCAGGATTCTTCGGACTTAGGGCTCGCGAGGCTGAATAATTCAGTTGTAACATCTCTTACTGCACCACTAGGTGACACGGATTGAAATCTCAGAATGGGCGCGAGGACCCCAACCAGGAAGTGTACACCTTCCTACGTGTCTTAAACTGACTCTTGTATCTAGGTGATTAACTGACTTAATAACTACTGCAGCCTAGTGATCTTAACTGGTGATGCTGGTAGTAGCTACACGTGGAATAAAGAAGAAATGAAACGTGAGAACAACCATGAATCGGTTATCAAGAACAAAGCAGGCAGATTCCGTTGGAGAAACGACATTATATTATTATTATTATTCGTGTTGGATTCTGAGGAGAACATGGGGCATCTACAACACATCTTTATTTCATGTTTTTTTCTGCAGTCCTCAATAGCTGGCTCATCGACTGTCAATAAGCCTTCATCTTCTCATAACACGATCTTCATGTCGCCCTGGGTCCTACGCACAACTCGTCTTTTCATATATGGTTTAAACCCGCAGATCTGGATGGCTCAAATGCGTTTCCCAAATGTGTGCAGAGTGCACCTCATGCGTCCCATCAGGTTAATAGCTTCTTGAATGATTCTTCTGCAGAGTTCTTTGTTGTTTGTGCATACATTCTGGCCGGCCCTCTGATCTTCAGTATGGAGCCAACGATGGCATCTGTTCATGGACGTCTGTAGTAGCCTGTTTCAAATGCCTATGGTGAGGTGCATGCAAAATCTCTTAACTGTATCGAAGCGATGACTAATATGACATCAGTGTTGAAAATACTAGTTTTACACTTTATGTTGACTATAATAGATTTCCACACTGATTTCCAATTGATCGCTGATATGTCTTGTTCTAATATTAAAAATGGGGATATTTAAAAATATTTTACCCTGTATATCATATGAATTGTATATAGTCTGCTTCTTAGTTTCTTCCAAACATCTCTCTGTTTTGTATTTATTCATTCGTGGATATAGCACTAACGGAATTCTATTTCCTGATACTTCTCATCGAAGGTTTGATGTTATTCAAGTCATCCGTACTACTTATAGTGGTGGTGGTTAGGTGAAGTTTAAAGAAAGTTGATGTGGTTTCATGTTAGCAAAAATGTGGCAGTTTTTACGAAGAGGTTGATTGGTTTCTTCAACCTAGCGACATTCTATAATCAACAAAGTTGCTTATAAACTAACCGTGAGATTAATATGACCTTCGGCTGCTGATGACAGAGAGAATTATGATTTCATACTAACTGAGGCACATCTTGGAATAGGAAACGAAAACTGCCAACCACACGTTTGTCATTAGCACAGAACAAAACTGTGTTCATGTGGTCAGTTTGTCTTTTATTTCGTATCTGTTCTCCCTACCTCTCGTTTTTCCACTCTACTAGCTGATTCACATGGAGCTGTAAATCATGACCATGTTCCGGTGGATTTTGATGATAGTGATAATCGAGAAGTCCCCTTATCTGGCCTACGTATTCTACCAGGTTATTTTACAAATTTATGTGAATTAGTTAGTGTAACCGGTGGTGAACTTAACATAATGAATGGTCTGTCACCTTATCTGATCCCTTCAAATTCTGTGAATAGTGTTAGAAATGCAGTTGTGTCACGAATGCGCCGTCATAGCGGTGTCGATCGTACCATTTGAAGATTGTCATATCATTCTTGGTCACTGTCAGGTAAGTTATCCTGTGTGATTGATTTTCCTATTTGATTATTTCATATGTCGTGTGTTTAAATAAGAAGGGCATTCAGAAGACACACATACTGTGACATGATTGCATCATTGCATCGTTTGCCTATGATCGAGTTTCTAGCTGGCTAGCTAGCTAGCTAGCTAGCATGCTTGCTAGTCTAGACTGAAATATTTGTTTTTTTGCATGTGTTGACTACTCATAAGTAGAATGTGATTATTATTTGTCTCAATTTTCTTTATGGTTCTCGTTTATGATTCCTCGTTTACAAATCACCCTACTGTTTGCTTTCATCTCTTTCTTCAGAAGTTCCTATTTCATTGTGCTCTTCACAAGCAAGTACAAATTCTGTCGCAAATTCTACATCCAGTTTACTCGAGGACAATTCATACAACCCAAATGCGCGTGTCGCAGTAAAAGTTTTGAAAATTGTGGATTTTCGACTTCTTCAGACATAACGATGGGTTTGCAGTCTTGATTCCGAAGAATCAGTTTCAGATACTATGTACATTCCAAGAGCGATGAAAACTCCAATAGTCAATAGAGGAGTTAACAGTGGTCCATGGAGCATTCTTGAAAAGGTAATGATCTTTTGGCCTTCGTGAAAACAAATAATTTCTCTTGAAGAGTGCATGATATCATCACTGCTTGTAAGGACTGGTGTCTTATTCACAAGTTATCCAGCGTGTTGGCTCAATTGAATTGTTATTCCTTCACTTGATCTACTATTTATTAGGGAATTTACTAGTCCTTTCACATCAGACGCTTGTATGTAGTTGTACTGGATAGAAAATTCGAACAAATTGACATCGATAATAGACATCTACATGCTCATCATCTTTAGATGTTTAAAATATTGATTTTGAACTGCACACGAAATGAACCAAAACAGAAAATCCCATTCACTCCACAGCTATGTCAAATAACAGAATTATATCAAATTCTCTTCTGGTGAATCCAAATTCACGCTGGATATACTGTTGGGGAATCGCGTTGTGCATATTAAGTACATCATTCATCTATCCTCATAGACAAAACTAAATACCTACTTGGAATACGTAGTATCGGAGTCAATTAAAACAATGGAATACATATGAAGAGTATATAAAGCTAGTTGTGAATGGAAAATTATTGGAATGGTGAGTCACGTGAGGGAGTGTTCGTTCAACAACATATTTTAGGCATTCACGTGTTGTATACGTTGATGACGCCTCTTTACTGGCAGTTTGACTGTTGACGTCTATTGTAACGAGGATGTGATTCACGTGTAACTCTAGAAACAGGGGATCACTTATTTGAAGGTAAAGAGGGCGACCACAGGAAATAAGAAAACGACGTGTCTACAAAACATGTCAAGTCTTTGTATTAACCGTGTCGGGCATTTAAGAAGGATACTTTTCTAACTTTAAAGAAAACTATCCTACTTATCATCTGCACATAGCTGTTTATCTCAGAAGTCCTAAAATATTAAGGAAAGTGAGCACACTGCAAACATTGGATTTAATGCAATATAAGGCATCAGATATTGAATACATTTCAGAAACAAACTACAATGAACTTGATTGCAACTCTGACAATGCACACTTTTACATGCAGAATACCTCAGTTAACGGTTTTCCCTGTTTTCGATAATTATGTGTTTGACATCCCACTGTAAGACTACTCAGTTTTCGATGTGTTCCTGATAAGCCTTCATTTATTATTCTTCATACTGACAGAAAGCAATTATGCGTTGTTAAACATTGAAATGATATTGTATTCATCAACCATTTACTCATTGGAATATTTTTAAACTAATCAACTTTACACCAAGAAGTAGCAGAAGTCATGTTTTTTTTTGAAAGGCGTACATGCATTTCATCTACTTGACGCGCACAAATTTCACTACACAGTACACATATCTGCCTAAAATTCTTTTGGTTTCAGAGAGAGAGAGAGAGTTAGGGAATTCTCGCAAACAGGAGATACTGAAAACAATTTTGAAAAATATTCATCTACCTTCAGTGTTTCGGCACAGCAGACCTGCCACAATTCTGCATTGACTGATTGATACATCACTCATATCACTTTTGTCTTATGTCTGAAATTAGTAGACGCATTGACATCAATAATCGTGTGTGTGTTTCCCTCATGCTTTGTACACGTACGTTGATTGATTTACTACTCATTTTTGAACAGACTAGAATTTCTGATTAGGGAAACAGGATGAAAAACCTGATATTTCCGTTCAGTGAAGAATGAGATTTCAATGATGGGGAGTCCGAATGGTGTTCATTGTGCAGAAATAGATACGTTTATTCACCTCATGCACGTTCCAGTCAGGAAACATCGTCAACCGTTATTTCATTTCATTTCGAACACCTCAATGACAGATGCACGTCAATGATTGTGTATTTCTAGAGAGAAATGAGAATTAGTTAATGATGACCATACTTATGATCGGAAACTGTTCTAATTTAAAAAAAATTATGAATCACAGAATGATTTGTGCAGAATAAAAAGGAAATCAACGAGTGATGTTTGAGCTTGCTGTTGATTGTCTGTCTGATGTTGTGACAGGAGTGTGCAAATTGTTAGGGAATTACAAAACGACAGTTAAATTTTGTACTAACTGTCACACTGACATAATTTAGGATTTCAATCGACATAAAATGATGCAAAACATCCTTCGACATCTGTTTGCATTTCAGTGCATACCCCGAACTAAAACTTTTCTTTGACGATGAATTTATTTAGGAATGCAAAACGCATGATGTGTAAATGTCAGAAAATACTTAGTAATGTCTATAATCTTTTATACATGGCTGCATAGACAAACATTGCTACGTCGTCCATCGCTAATTTTGAATCATTCCAACTAATGAATACACTGAGCATTGGATAATTGTGATGAATGTCGATGGCTACCATTAAAATGGTATGAAGAACTATGATAATATTTCATCAGAAGATTGATCATTCAGTTCCATGTTCACGTTGTAATCTACACAAGTTCAGAGATCACAACACATGGTATCTACTCACATTAAATGAGGCTGATTTTAGTGGCTGTTCAAAGATTAAACAGACACTCAGGTTATCATACTCTCAGCTGCTCATAAAGTGCAGTATCGTTTAAAAGACTAGAAGATATTTGGTTTAAAGAATTCACATTGAATCTCGGAATAGCCATATCCACATAAGTGTTTCACATATGTTTATGACGGCGATTCTCAAGGTTATTTCTGAATTAATTTCGACTTAGATATTTAGACTTTAATTCATCTCATCCTTTAACTGTTAAGGCAGGCTTAGTTAAGTGTTTAACAAACCGAGCAATGGCACTAAGTAGCACAAAAAAGACCTAAATGATGAAATAAAACAGATAGAAGAGGCATTGGTTCTCAATAACTATCCTCTAAAATTCATTAGGAAGATTGAAAAACGCCAAAAGAACAATAAAAAGAATTGTGAAACTAGTAACAAGAACATGAATAAGAGAGAATATAAGTCATCTACAGTTATACCATATAAAGAGGGGACATCTGAGACCCTACGTAGGATTCTAAATAAAGCAGGAATTAGGGTGGCATTTAAACCTACAAACTCACTCAGGGACAAGCTCTGTAGGTTAAAGGACCCAGTGGACCCAATTAGACAAAATAATATAATTTACAAAATACCCTGCAATGACTGTGAGGTCAACTACATAGGTCAAACTAGTAGGTCAGGGGTAGTCAGATTGTCAGAACATAAGAATTTAGCTAAGGTAAGAATGGTTGACCCCGAGAAGATAAGTAATTTAGAAAAAAGCTCGGCAATTGCAATGCATGCATTAACACACAACCACACAATAGGGTGGGAGAGGGTTAAGATTCTAAAAAGTAATCTAGGTAGGTGGAGAGAGAGGTTGATTACTGAATCTTTGTTCATCGAATCTACAGCCAACACATGCAATAGGAATGAATCATCTCTCATACCTGAAATATGGAAAATAATACTACCAATCAAATCAAGTGAAAAACAATGGAACTATATAAATGAATTTAGGAAGTCGTGTGATTAACTTGATATGATTATGAGCAATAAATTGTGCTCGAAACGTCATCAGTAAATATTACTGTATAACACTGTGAGACTCTATCAAAATAAAATTTACCCATGATTCGATGTTATTTAAGTAAAATTAATGCTTGATTGCATAGAGGACTTCATCATGAGCTGACATCAGCTAGAGAATCACTGAAAAACCTGGGAGTACTGGACAGCTGTTTCGTCCTAGTTTGGGACCCTTCAGCAGCCATACAAAACCAATACTTGAGAATTAATGCTGTTGTTAATATTCCCAATTCTTTTATCATCATTATTATGGATGGTTGGATGGATATCAGTGTAGAAGCTGATGAAGAGGAGGAGGTTACCGAAGTGAATATTCTTTGTTCAGTAATCACGCTTTTGAAACTTCTAATGGGCATTTTCGATCAATTGAAAACACTTATTTTTAGCGCAAAAAATATTTCTTTAAATTGATGACTTCATTTTGTGATTATTAGGTCTCTAGATTTGTTATTATGAGCTTTTAAGTAGGTCAGATGTACATTATAATAAAGGTTCTTTTTGTATTTCCCAATGAATGAAAAACAAAACGATATTGGTTTATATCGACATTTCGCTATTTAGTGCTAATTATATACTAGTATCCATCCTTATTACCGAAAGTTTTGATATCATTTCCAGTTTACTCGAATCAGATACAACGTTATCACAAAGTTGTCTTATGGACACCAGTGAAATAATTAAGAGGTTAAGTTTTATAAAGTTATTAGCATTAAATAGCTAACTTTATAGAAAATAATTGCCTTCTACATGAAAGTGCATGTGGTTGCCCAGTTTTTCGTTTAATTTGTGCCTAATTGTTGTATTAATATATAAATCATATTTAGAACCAACACGATATAGTGAGTGGTGTGGAGAAAAAATAGCGTTCCAGAAAGTTGTTTGATACT